TGCTCTTACTGCCTCATCAATCTCTCTGTATCACTCCTGCACCCCCCTCAACACACATTTCTGTTTCTTTTTTTTTCCATCCTCTTTTGCAGAGGAGCAGGGGGGGAAAAAGACACAGACCTGCCACAAACCACACTGACTCCTGACAGAAATCAGAGAAAAGCTTATTACACTGTATACCAAATATTCAGACAAAACTATTCCACTAAATATAATTTGGTCATTAAACTAAGGGGAATTATGTTTTTAAATTCTATACCTTTTAAAATAGGAACACAGGGCAAATTTGTTACTTAATGTTGATTCCATTGATACAATTCAATTAGGAAACAATTCATATCTTCTCAATGCTTCTGGCTTAAAATTAACTGTATGCTTCCCCTGATGAAATATAATGAAATACTTCCCTCGGGCTCTTAACAACTCATAAAGTTTTATGGCTCCGTTCCAAATTGGGCTCTTTGAAAACTAATAATAAATAAGTTGCTTTAATGAGGCAAGTGATTCACAACGCTTGTGCTGATCTCAGCCAAAGACTATAAACACATGTATGTGAAGCTGAGTGTTCCCCCACTCACACAAATTAAGTGTTGCCAAGTGTCTGACCTGGTTTTGTAGTTTTGCTGTCAATTTTCATGCAGCGCTTCTAAAAAAGATAGCATCTGAGTTAAAGGTTAAAGTTAGTCTTACTCATGAGGTTATAGGAAGTCAGATGTTTATCCTGGCTCCAAATAAATTTATGAGGGCCTTCAAACAATGTTTAGTTGGTGTTTGCACAACTACCAACTTGTAATTTAATTAACATGTAATAGAGAGTATGCACTCACGTCACTGTTCCATAAGACGTACCCACACCCACCCGAGTGGCAAAAGGATTCAATATATCTGCTGCCACTTGTGTAATGCGAATGAAAATACAAATGAAAATCATTGCGAATTAAAGTGTGGGTTTCAACAAGGACCTCGGCGGCCTATCAATAAAACGGTGGATCACAGACATCCCCACCTGACAAGGAAGTCAGGTCACCTGATAATTAAATGTACATCTTCTGTTAGCAGGGCAAATTCATGAAGCAAAGCATAAAAGTCTGAATATCTGGTCATTCGTCAAAGAGACATTAATACAAACTGGTTTTTTAATCTTATGCAAATTTAGTGATGAAAACTAGGCCTGGTTGAAAGTGTAAAGCAAAATCTTCTATGCAGAGAATGTTATATGGGAGCGGATTTGTGACTCGTGACTGGCAAGGCAAATACTGGCAAGGCACAGTTTGTGCCTTTTTAAAAGGTTCCTAATAATCTTTTTTTTTTACTGACTACGCCCTTGTTTTTATAGTTTTAGGAAACACATGACTTGCGAACCAAAGGATCTGTATTAATGATTCACATTTGGAGTGTTCTGTAGCCGCCAGTCAAACAACTGTAACAAAATCAGTCTTAAACATTTGGAAAAGATCCTTTAATATCAAGTTTATGTCAACTTTTGAGTAATCATGTTTAAATGTCTGTAGAATAGTATTGTTTACTAATCATATATCATATTCTCTTTACTTTTTACAAGTTTGTAAAAGGCTAACTAAGCAGATTTTCTGAAGAAATTTTTCACATTTCAGGGCGAGTCAGACCTTATTGAGAAGGTCATTCCACTGGATGTTACCGGATACACACGTCCCCTGTACCACACTCATTTAGCTATTGAAATAAGCTGCTTATTCAGATAATATATAATAATAATTGCAGATAACACTTTTAGTTAATAAAAGGTAAAAACACAATAGCAGTAGTATGCTTACCATCTGAAAACAAAGCCCATCAAAATAAACTGTGCTCAAAGCTACACAACAACACTGCCCTGTTGAGCATACAGCTGCCATTCACAGATTACAGGTGGTATATGAACACATACCACTGTTCATTAAATTACAAGATGTAGAGGCTTGCTCAGCTTTGGAAAATAAATGCATCATTTATTTGAATAACCCCATTTGATCAGCAATTAGTAATGGTTTCATTTTTTTACTATAATGAAGAATTTTGGTTTGAAAAGAATTACATTTAAATTGCCTGCTCTGCTTTCATTGAATTGGAACTCAAACTGGGAGATAAAGCTGCAACCAGCAACCAGTGAGTGAGCTCACTGAGGTCATTTAACTGAAAACACTTATTCAAAACAGCTACAAGATGTTTCAGACCATCAAAGAGCCACATGCTTCAATTCAGCATAAGAAGCAGAAAATGAAAGTTAAACAAAATTATTTGAATTTGAACAATTTAACAGGAGATGTTATGGGCAACCCACAGCCAGCCATTTCTGTTTCAGAGAGGTACAGTTTTCCTCTGCTTCCACAAAGCCAACTTGAGGCATCATCCAAGAGCTGTTTATCAGACAGCTTATCAAGATAAGTGGGTTATTGGGATATTCACAAAGAAAGAATAGAGAGGCTTGTCATAGCTTTGATTTGTCCATGTTAAATAAATAAATAACTTTGAGAAAATGTATGACTCAAAATAATGCTAAGAAAACTATTTTTACATTGGTTTGAAACATCTCCAAAAATAAACCACTGGGAATGTTCAGGCTTGAAAAAATGACTTGATGAGGGTGGCAGAAAAGAGTGAGTGACAGTTTTACTGTTGGCATGTGAAAAATAAAGACTGTGAAAGTAAGAAGGAACATGCCCAAAGTAAATGAAAAACTTGTGAGAATGAACTGCAGAGGCTTGTGAGAGATTTTGGCATAAGTTGTCCCATTGCACCAAGAGCTATTTTTACAACAAATACCCATGAGAGCAAGGGAGAATAGAAGAGTTGAAGCAAAGCCCTGAGCTCTCAACTTTGATCATTTCTAGTCTGTCTTCAAGCACTTTTCTTTTCTTTTCTTTTTTTAATGTATCTTCAAAGTACTGACAGGAATCAAATTTCATGCCGATAGAGGTCATGTTTAATGTGTAAGCTCAGGACAGAACAGGCCCCTTTAAAATGGGGTGTATTGGGGTGGTGGCATGAAGGGGGTGGGGGGTACTGGCATTTGCGCAGAACATTTCCTTTACAATGAAAACAATCTAACCAACTGCAGCACTCAAAGGAATTCACCTCCCCTCCCCCATGCCCCAACTCCCCTCCTCCTCCTCCACCACCACCACCATTACATTACCATATCAAAGCCCCGAGTTCAGAGCAAGTCTTCTCTTTCAAGAATGGGAGCGAGGCAGAGGGAGGGAGGGGGAGAGGACAAGACCGAGGCAGTAGGAGTAGACCCAAGACTGAGTTAGCTTTTATCTCGTTTTGGCGTATGTGTATTTGTGCAAGAGAGACATACTGTGTGTATGTGGCTACACCGACACAAGTCCACGTTTGTTAGTGAGATAATACTGCAGAAAATCTCTGGAGATACTAAAGGACTAATGACTCGGTCTTCCACAGGCTGCGATGAGGAGAAGTCATTTCACATTCCAGAGGCAGACAATGGGGCCTACAGGGGGTCTGAGTGGCAGTGAAATACCAAAGCAGGTACACTGTGTAGTTAGGGCACTGCTTGGCAGATGGCCAGCAGAGTACGGGCAAAGTCAAGATCTGTGTATCTTAGGTCTGGCGCAGCCACCCCAAGTATGAATTCAAAATGATCCTACACTATTCTTTACTCTTGTTTCTGTTGAGCTCACTGTACCAGTAGTCACAGATACTCTCTCTAGTTTGCTGGAAGACTAAATGTGAAAATCAAAGTGAATGGCATTAGGGTAAATAAGACCACTGGTTGCCTGGGAAACAGTGTACCCTGCCCCACTCGCTCATGCCTAGCCTTTACTTTTCTCCAATCACTGGAGAGCAATAATACATTATTGACAGAGGGCCACAACAGGCAGCAGTGCAGCATTTTCAAATTGTATTTGAACAACAGAGCCCGTTAAAAGATGCACAAGGACAGTGAGAGAAAAGGACGTGAACAAGAAGACAAAGAACTTGGCAGAAGGAAAGGATTCAAAAACCACCATTTACCCTATGCTAACCATCAATCTGCCATCCACTCCTGGCCTTGGCTCTAAATCAGTCTCATAGTCAACCTAAACAGAAACAACACGAGTGTGGGAATCTTAAACGAATATAGATGTCTGGAAAAGTATTTATTAAGACGAGTTTACCTGAACTTAAATTCAGTATTATTTTTTAAGATTTGTTGATAGATGAGGCCAAAGCACTGACATGCATAACAATGTATTTCCAACACAAAATTACTTTGTGTGGAATATTTGCTTCATAAGAAGCAGAGAAAATTAAATCAATGTGTCCTGATGTAGCTAAACAGACTGGCTGTAAAGCAATAAAGCCTGTGGAGTTTGTCATGTCTACCTGCTATGAACTGCGTGTTTCCTATCTGGAGCCTGTAACATTTTTTATTCTAATAAATTTAGTTAGAATAGTTTGTGGCAGTGCTGAAATAGGTTTTCCCCTCTTTTCTTAATAAAAGAAATACCTCTGATATTCACCCATTTGTAAAATCCTTCCTTATCCTTACATTTTTTCAAATTACTGTTCATCATTTTAGAGCAAAGATGACCGAAATGCAAACATTTATAACAAACAGCACATTTTTTCATTCAGATGTTGCATCAAATGGAAACCTCAGTGTATTGTGATGTAATAGCAAGCAAACTGAAGAGCTGCTTTTAAGTTCTGCGGTCCAACTCCAGTTTCAAAGGCACTGATCCATTTAGATTAGTCAAGTCAGTGTGAAGTTTGGATAGTACCGGTAAACAAAAATAGGTGGAGTATCTGTAAATACTAGATGAAAAAAAAACCAACAGCAAATGGTTGTGTCTTTAGTATCATCTTGAAGGAAAGCATAGCCATGCAGCACAATTAGTTCAACAAGAAATTCAATCACTACAGTTATTTAAGAGGACCTTTAAAAGTAGCTTTGTGTTTGGGAACCTGAAGTAAAGAGACTACATAACAACCTGAGCACACTGGAGAAGTGAGTCAGAGCAAAGTAGAAACTCACCCGTCTTCTCTTTGATCTCACAGAGAACGCTGAAGAGGGCTGGTTTCATTCTGTGACAGTTCAGGGCATGCTTCCTGTAAGAGGGAAGAAGGGATGAGAGAGGGAGAAAGCAAGGGAAATTATGATAAAAAGACCTCCATTTGTGTTTTATTTCCACAACCTAAAAAAAAAAAGAAGTTGAGCTGTTTGTATTGTCAGAGCAGAACCATCTCTGATGAATCACTCTGAACTAGCAAGAGTGATGCTGTCATCTGAATGCTTTGCACAGTGGGACAGGTAATGATGCCAAACCTCAAGGTCATTATTACTGAGCATCCGATTTCATAGTTAATACACAGTAATCTCGTTTATGCCCTTTGAGAGAAATATCCATTCCACTTGACGAAGATGGTGACTTGACAGTGAATGTTCGGATTAAGGTACATTTTCAATTCAATCACATCTAAACACAGAAACACCAATCAAGAGACAACCAGCAAAACTTCGAAACTTTACTGGAATCAGAACAGACGGCCTGAGATAGACGATCTCTTGCCACAAAATTTCCATGCATCAACTCACAGCCTTATACCTACAAAAAAAAGGATGAGATGAATGTTGAGGCACAAGCTTTATCCTCCCATTGTCTCTAATGTATTACTGTATGATGCCATTTCCCCTATTACTCTATTAACATCAATGGTGCCAATTGTATGAGTGGTTGTGCATACAGCACATTTTATTCACAATGACCAATACATGAACAACGTGAATATATGTCAACATGCAAAACATAACTACCCTCCTCCCTAAAATTGACTCAGAGGCATAGTTTACTCTCTTTTTCCTCTGTTTGAAGTGCTGCTGTGTTGGTTAGTTACATTGCATTGCCAATAACTACTCAAATTAGTAGAATTTTATTAATTACCTACAGCCCTGTTTTTTGTTTTTTTAGACAAAAAGGCAAATACAGCTATAACAGAAGAGTTCAGAGTTTACACTTCGGAGAAAACAAACCAATGTACAAAAGGCCTCGGTTACTGGTGAACATGAATCACAAAAATGAAACAAACATATCTAGCTTAGAATTATCCAACAACAAAATATAAATAGCATCACCGAGATATAACTCTAAACAACCACAGGTGAAGATGATTCGGCCACACCTGACCTCAACACAAATTCCAGTTGTGAATGTCCTCTGCAACATTAATGAAGGGACGGGCTAAAGAAATAAATAAAAGGACCAACTGTACATGGTCCAAAACCAAGCCTCTCTGTTAAAGTGTTGAGGCAGTATGAATTATGTATCTACCACTAAATGTGCATTTTATCCACCAATTCTGTCACTGCTGGATTTGAGTTGGGGGAGGGCTGCCTTCAGCATGGAGGTTATGAGCAGGAGGGGGAGAAGGGGGAGCGCATGCGGTCCTGTACTGACCTGTGCTGGAAGTTGAGTGGCAGGCCACCCCCTGCCATGCCCCCCCCTGCTCTCCCTCCCTCTGAGGGGTCGTCTGATCCACCCCAATGCGCCGGCGATTCCTCTGGCCAGCATCTGAACATATGGCGACAGGGTGAGAGGATGAGGGCGGATGGTGTACTCTGCAACACCAAGTTCTAGTGCTGCCCTGACCACTCCCCATCCCAACACACTGCCACCCTGCATAAGTGGGACTTCATCATGCCACTGTGCAAGCCACCTCACTCACAAATTTGTAGATTATTATGGTAAATGAAGGACTGAGGCATGGATGTCACACATGGTTATAGTTAAGGATGACGACAAAGTCACGTCAAATACAACTACGTAACACACCAATCTGTAACAACAACAACAACAACTTCTGAATAGTCCTGAACCATACGTCTTGGATGTTAACTGAAGGAAACCTGTAAATCATTTAGCAAAAAGCCAAACTTTTTCAAGTTAGCCCATCACTAGTGACATGGGTGTACAAGGCAAAATTTCTCTGCGTGATGCGTGGAATAAGAAGAGCAGCATCTAAGTCGGAGCATGTCTCCACATATGCATATGACAGCATGAGGCTGGTCACCGTTAGCATCGTTTAATATGCCAGCTCAAGGACTTCCTACACTATAATTAGCCTCTTAATTCCAAATTAATCTAGTTTATACAACCAGCTCAACACAGTTACATTAAAAAAAAAACAGCTGAAATCACAAGTTAAAGGACGGAAAATAAATAACGAACATTAGTCAGACATTTTCAAGCAAAAACAACTGCATCATGAAATGAGGCCTGATTAAGTCTTCAAACTAGTCCTGAAGAAAAGGTAAAATCCCAGTGTTCATCGTCTGCCAGTGTACCATCATCATTCCCCCTCACCACCATCTCATTAATAGAAACTCGATTTGCGGACAGCTGCACTCGCGTACACATTATAGGAGAATTGATTGCACCCAGCACACAATGAAAAGGATGAACACCAGGGAGGGAGGGAGTGAAAGAGGAGTGAATTAATTAAGAGAACCAGGTGGTCAAATGTTGGGTGGAAAATCACTAGCTAATGACACATCACACTGTGGCCACAGTCTTGCTGCGGACCGTTGTCTATTGTTGAAATACTGATGCTTCATTTGAAAATGACCTTATGCTCCTTGAGCCACATGGCAAATGAGTGCGAGTCAGTAACTCTGTGCAGGGCACGCTGACAACAATAAAACGTTAAAATACCTCCTATATGACAATATATGGAGAGTCATGAATGAATCATTACTGTCACCACATACAGCACTTGGGTGACATTTAAAGCTAAAAGACTCCTATGCTTGTCTAGACTTTGCATTTAAATGCACTTTGGCACCAAACGTTGATGAGACTAATTTGATATGCATAGGGGAAATCAGGCTCACATCGTTTTAATTTCAATTTTAAAGTAAAAACCATAGCATTTCAGTAACCATTAAAAAACCTTTGCAGTATGACAACAGGGCCTTTTTGTTTTCTTTTCTTTAAGACATAATGTTCAAGTTGAGCAACATGCAAGTTCTTCATAACTGACATTCGTCAATAGTTTGGATCATCACAGTAATGTAGGAAACCTATGGAAATATAAAGTGCTTCAAGTATGCAGAGAAATACATCAAAAGCCCTCTTACACACTCACAACTGTGTCAAGATTACGTTAAAGTCTACCACTGCCATAGACCCAAATGGCAGCGTAAACTTTTTAATTAGACACTACACTGACAAACCAATTAAGAAGGACGCGGCGCCATCACGTTATTACCACCGAGTGAGTATGTGTACCAACTAAAATATTAAAGGAGAGACCGTTTAGAGCAGACGCTTCTTTATAATCAAAAACTATTGTATGCATTCCATGGGAACTACGGCGAAGAAAATTTAAATTTAACAATTCAACTGCAAATTACATTTCATACAAGTTACAAAAAGCTGCTATAATACATTACCTTCATTTGAACGTCTCACGCAAACACCTGAACCCAAAAATATAACAGCTATAAGTGTGCCGAACGGCTATTCGAATATCTTACCTGGCCTGTGCTTCGTCCAGGCTTTCGTCGGTGATGGCCATTATTTGCTGTAGAATATCCCCAATGTCTTGTTGCGGTTGACCGAGGGACTGCTGTTTCCTGACCGAGTCTGGGTCACCGACATCGGCCTGTGGTAGTCCACCGAGTCCGGTAAGACCCGTCAACATCCTGGTCTGATCATCCATACTTTCAAAGAAAACTCGCCGTTTTCCTCAGTCGAAGAATACACACAAATAGCTAGCCTATTAGCTAGCCAGCAAAGTATCTTCCACGACAAAACATACAACACGTCTTACTTTACTCGACAGCGACAATTGGCGATTAATTTGTAACGCTTTTAATTAACTAGATCGCGCAGACACGCTTTACATTCGCGCGTGCTTCTTCTTTTTTCTATAGTAAAGTCAATGAACGCGGCCAGGCTAATGCTGGCTAACCACCGAGTGAAAAGCAGCTAGGTTAGTAGCAGTAGCAGAGCAGAAAAGCAGCAGGGACACACATGCACACACTGTGTGAGCTTGCCAACAGCGCCTCGCACATTTTCGGGGAAAAAAAATGTAAAACGAAAAATATAGGCGCAAACGAACAAGCACGTCTTAAAATTAAACGTGCCTATTCAAGAAGGAAAATAGTCATAACTATATACAATCGCGCACCGTATACGTCCGATGAAAAATCTCTTACCAAAACAGAAAACGGTTTGCCATTGTTGTTGATGTCGCGCGAGTATGTGGGATGTTCTTCTGCGCGAGCGGTGTGAGTCGCCTTGACCATTAAATTCATAGCACCACAGAGCGCGAGCTAGTGGGAGGGTGTGAGCAAACTACTACAGAAACAACAGCTGTCGAGATAGACGAATGTATATCTTTGGGATTTTTTTTCGCAACAGCAGGAATACAATGAATTTAGGAAATTTTCAGATTTTATTGCAATATTCTTCCAGATCAGCAAAGATCTCGTGGGTGTGCAAATGGATACCCCCTTACGTCACCAGCATTGCCTTTCCTGTCATAATTAGTTACAGCATATTTTCCCTTATAAAGGTGGAATTATCCACTCAACAGAATTTCCAAAAAGAAACCTTTTTCTTATACAAACTCAAATAGGGAGCTTCGAATAGGCTCATAAGAAAGATGCAACATTTTGGAAAAGGTGTTATATTACACTGTAACTTAATGTTTTTTAAGATTTCTTTGTGTAAGCATAAAAGCCTTTGGATTTGCACAGACACAGCCCAGTATGTGCAAAAAATTATGTTGATTGGGAAATAACACTACGTTGGAAAAGATTTGATGGTTTGCTGGTAAATGCTGCAAGTTGTGCGTTTCAAAGAAAAGTTTCGAGTGCAATATTCAATCTCAGTCCTAAACAGTCCACGCACAGAAAATCAGTCTGTCCCCGACCCTAGATGAATGAAACATCCCATCAGTTTTTAGTATGAAAACGTTGACAGCAGACTGAAAATAAGTGTCCTTGTTTTTTGCAAACTGGGCAATTCTGTTGTTGTTTATCACTCAGATCACAGAGACAGCTTTCCAAGACGAATGGCTGACTGGATGGATGTGGAGGAGAGCTGCAGCCAGCTTTGCTACACCGAGAAAAAGATAATGGGTGTGCATGAGGGAGTACGACCAACACTGGTGTGGTTTATGCTGACTCTCCAATGATCCATCTACCACAATCTGTAACTAATCAATCTAAAGTTAGAGACAACCAGAAGAGAATACACTAAACATAAACAGTAATTGTTCAATGCAAGTGCATGTAGCACAAGTCACAGTTCTGGCTGAGGTGGTTTTTCAAAATGCAGGGTCCATATTATTTAAAAAGATACATATATACATATATGTACACACAGTGACCTGTGGAGCCAGGTGACAGCAAGACTCCTCCATAGATTCCATCCAACTATAAAAAGAAATCTGAACATATTAAATATTTAAACAGTTTAATAACCATTATTATGCAATTCTAAGTAGGCCATAAATTAAATTTCCATCACTGTCAAGACCAATCTTCTATAAAAGTAGGACCGTCAACAGCTTAGTAAACTTTTTTTGTCTTATTGTTGGTGATTCATTTAAGGTCCTTTTCTGTGAAACCTCGACTCATTTGAATGCTAAGGCTGCCCTTCTCTCACCCCACAAGCATCAAGCCTCATTTTCATCTAAATAAGAATCGATCTCTCCTGCTGTGTGCCATCCTCCCTTACTTGCAACTCTCACGGTCACAACCCCACCTGTCTTCTCTTTGGTTGTCCTTTTGCTCTCCACTCACTCCCCCAGAGTGGGACAATTAAAAAAAAAATCCACCTTATATCAAATTGATCATAATTGCATGGAACGTGACTCACTTAAGGATTACCTGGAAAAGGGGTATTCACAGCAACAAGATAAAAAAATATTAATTAAATATGCACTTTAATGAGTGGGTGGGATCTTGAGATACGTGATAGCCAGCAGAGCATTGACTGACTGGTACAATGTCAGAGCTTCGTTCTGCATCAGTGACCAAGCCAAGCAAGACATGGGGGTGAGTCACTATGGGGGAGGGGCCACCTACTGAATGGTCAGGGGACACTGATAAAGTGAAATATAAACAGCGCATTCAACCTGACTGACAATGAGAACTGATCATTACAAAAAAATGGGTAAAATAATAATCAACTCAGTTTTCTAATGGTTCTTTGTGTTGTAGAAGACTATATGAAGTGGAAAAACCGCCAAATGTCAACATAGAGTAAAACTATTTAAAATTTAAGGCACATATTTATGTTCTGCCCTGCTTTTAGTCACTTGTTGAGAATAGTGAAGAGTGATATTAGAAGTTTCATCTAGTCTTTATATAGACAAAGTGAGTTTCTGTTTCTTATCTCAATTGCCTCCGATAAACATTAATTCCAAGAGACGGTTCAATTTTTTTTCAGTGTTTATTTTATGAACAAACAATGTCTTTGCCTTGTACTTTTTTTTAAAAACATTCACCAGTTTCTTAACAGATTCAGGATATACCAATGAGAATGCACTTATTCAAGGGTCAAAAGAAAATCCACTCAGGCCATTCACCATGTTTGTTATCATTTTGAGTATGGCCAACCTCTGCCATCTGCTGGTCAAACACGTGTATTACCTCCTACTGTTTGGTGCACCTCAGCCTTTTTTCAATAATAAAAACATATCAAAGATATACGGCACAAAGAAATGCATACTCTAATCAATAAGTGGAATCATTAAACACGAATAAAAGCTTGAGCTCAAAGTTCTGGAGAGACCGTTTGCTGTACACAGACCAGAGACTTATGCTGTTGGCGTCTGCAAAGGTGCTGAAAAGAGATTCCTGAGGGGGTCTGACGAAAGATCTTGGAATCCTGCCTCTTCAGCTGGTTGGAAACAGTTACCAAGTTAATTTGACCAACAATTGCTGAGTACGACAAAACAAAAGATTAAAGCCAAATAATTGCAGTTACCTAATCTGCCACTGGTCTCTTTCACTAATGACTGTGAATACTCCTTGATGGACAGAAGCTCTCTTACCATTTTGCACTGAGTGTCCATCTACAGGAAATGGAAAAAAAAGAAAAAAAGAAATCAGACCACAATTAAGTACAAATTATTTTCTTAAAAATCAGACAACATTCAATTTATCTTACATTTCAAATAATCCCTGTTTCAAGTCTTGTTTAGTCATTTTGAACGTTATACAGTCAATTACATGCACTATCGGAAATTAATTACTGATACACTGCAATATTCATAATACCAATTATTTCTTTGAATGGATCCATCACAACCCTAAAAATGTGATTTTGATAAGAGTGAAAGTATATCATAGACATGGTTACATAAAATCTCTTTCCAGGTAACTACTATGTTTCAGTATTATAAATCATTTTGTGCTGACCACAATAAAAAACTCCTATTGAATGTTAAATGTGCTAAATGGTCCACTCATTCATCTAATAAAAAAGGAGCATCGAAAATAAAAAGGTTTCTATGTCACTAACATTTATTTCCATGCTGGGTGCACTACTATCTGGAAGTGTATTCATGTTTAAAATAAAAATCTTATTTCAAACATACAATCATTGCGATGGTGTTCAGCATGGGTCGTTGTCGACAGAGAACACTCTGGTAGTCCGGTTTACTCTGTATGACCAGATACTGGGAGGACTGGACTGTGGATGGAGCGCTTATGGAAATGCTTCCTGTCTCTTGCCCCATCTCAACCGTCCTGCAATCAATGAATACTTTTTTGACACAACTGTGAAAATATTGGTGTCAGATTCCTAAATGACGATGACTGTGTTCACCTTTTCAGTTCCTCTGCTTTACTCTGGTGTTTGATTAAGAGTGCCTCCCATGATTCACTCTCAGCCTGGAGCCTAAAACACATCACAGGTGGTCGGACAATCTTTTCCTTCCTCTTCACATTTCATCGACTGAGTACTGTGATAACCTTGTAACTTCTCATTGGGCAGTTTTTGATGAAAAAAATAAATAGTAACCTTGGAATACAAGATTTCAAACAATAAGATACCTGTCAATTGCTCTCTGGACACTTTCCATTGCTTTTTTCACTGTTTGTCCACTGGAACTGAAAGATAAATTATGCGAACATGTTTTATAGTACAGCTATTAAACTGAATTATATCTATCTATATATATATATATATATATATATATATAACCAGTGAGAATTGACAACATAAACATTTACAGTACCTGGCTGAACTTGAAGAAAGTAGGGGCCCCCACTCTGTTTGGATGTGATCAACTACATAATATAAAACAATCCAGATGTAAATTCAAATGATATTTCAGTGGCTGTGAATAACAGGAGCAAAATGATAGTAGCTCACTACATAGAAGCACTAACTTTGTTTTTGAAAAGACTCCAGTGAGATTTTTGGCACTGACTGGAGTGTACTGTGCGTTCTTTCCACTGCCAACTAAAAACAAAACAGAGGTGATTAGACAAAGAGCAGACAATTATCAAACAACGATTATTCTTATGGCACAAACCCAATACAACTTGGATCCTTAATTCTTATTGCACTCACTTACTGCTGCAGCCAAATTGAAATATCATGTGACACCTTGGGCCTTACATCCTCACAGGTTTAAGAGAAAATTATCACAAAAGTCTACCGATATGAAAACTGCCATATTATTTCTATATAGTAAATTCTATACTAAATTTAAAACAACACTCTTGACTCTACTTGCCTTCATTGAAGCTTCCAACAGTTTCTCAAGCCTCTCCTCACGTGGCAAGGATGTGCTGATGCTCTTACACAAAGCTGGAGCACAATCATAGATAGGAATTTATTCTTGTGTGGGATACGACTAGTCCTGGATCAAACTGGTGGATAAAATTAAAGAAAAAAGGTGCTATATCTTACCCTGATATGGGTTAGGAAGGGCTGGGAGGGAGCGTCGGGTTATGGTGGCTCTCCTCCAGGATTTTCTCCGTACAGTAGGGCTGATGGACTCATTTGTGGGACCTGAGTGCATCTCTGGTTTGTCCGTGTCCACCTCCTGTCCTGCATCTGGCCTCTGTGCTGTTGGTGAGATGGAGTCTGTGCGGGGAGACTTAGTTGGGGGAACTAAAGTTGGACTTGCGGAGGAGCATCTTTTCGTCTTCTGTGTCACTGAGCTGACCTTAGTATGCAGCAGAACGAGAGCCAGAGACTCTCAGTTAATTGGATGAATTGGCTGCTTAGATGAAGCAAAGTTGGACTTTTTTCCAGTTAAGATTTAAGATGCAGGTCTTACCTCATTCAAGATATCGGGCGACGTAAAATCTCCACATCTGCAAAAATGTGTTTGGGGATGAGCACACAACACAACATAGAAAAGAAAAGAAAACCAAACTTAATCAGCGAAATCGAGTAATTTAAGCGATGCGTTTACATTGGAGAGCACATCAGACTAATCAATATGCCATCGCTAAAACTTAAGACAAATAAGATAGACAACCCAGTTTAGCTAAAAATGTTTTTGAAACTCTTCCTTTTTTTTATCCGGACAACGTTATTAGTAAAGATCAACATTTACTTGGGATAGCACAAGCTTAAAAACAAGAAACCCACCCATCTTTTGCCTGCTTTTCCGCCATTTTAATTTCAAATAGGTATGCGCGCGCCCAACAAACCAAGCCGTCGACGGGGCAAAGCATCATGGGAAATGAAGTTTACTTAGGAGGTCGAAGGTACGGCTTTCATTCGAATAAGTGATATCGTGTAGATTTAAAGAAAAACTTCAATTTGTGAAATCCACGAAGTTGTGAACATTTAAAAAAAGATTAAAGGGGGTGAATACAACTCTGATGATTTTTGGATATTAAATCTAATAATTCAAACTAATGAGAAACGTACCTTAAACGTAGGCTGTAATCATTAAGGCTTTGAGGAATTGGAATGTAGTTGGCAATTACAATAATCAAGTATTGTATACCGAGCGGTGTCTCCACAAATATGCTCCTCTCTACCTTATAATAATGTCCAGACATTTTAAAAAGAAAGACATTTCTAATATTGAAACAAGTAACTAGCTTAACTTGCCCTTTTTACCATCTCTGCACTAACCACTCATGTAGGTCTGCTAATTGGTTTTGCATGTTCCAAGTCCTCTGTATAACCTGTTTGACCTATTCTATGAAATCTCACAGCTTTCATCAGGTTGCAGTGGTAACTGTAAATCACATAGCATTAAAATGAAAAAGATACCATTTCAGATTTCTATAGGGGCCCTAGAAAAATAACCTAAAACTTTTTTTTTTTGGGGGGGGTGCATAAGAATAGATAGAATTGTGTACAAGTTAACCTTAAACAGTCAAAAATAATACATCCTACTTTTTTTTTGCAACAAAAAAAGGCATTTGTTACTGGATTGATTACAAAAGAAAAGACCAAAACTTTTTTGTGATTTTACTAACTCCAATTAAGAAATGATGTCATGTTTGCCTCTGGAACATCAAAACAGCCAGTCATTATAAAGTATTTATCACCATACAACCTGAGCAATGAGAAAAATACCACACATCTTATTTTATCTATGGGTACGTCAGCCTCTTTTATCAGTAGTAAAAAAAACAATAAATGGAAACCACAGCAGTTAATAAGAAAGTACAAGCATTTTCTCAGAAAATGAGTCTTGATGTGACAGCCTTCAGGCTATGTATTCTTGAGCGAGTGAATTTCACTGAGCAAATCAGTGGGTGCCGTTTGTATGTGATGACCCATTGTGGGCTCTCACCCGTCAAACAACTCGATTCACAGTGTAATATAATGTTTCCATAAATTATTTTGAAACAAAAAGAGTTTTAGGAGTTTTACTAGCTTTACATTTTCATATTTATATAAACAATATAAATAAAAGGTTCATATGAAAGATAAACGGCAGTTATCTGTAGCTGATCCTTTTTATATCTGCATGTGATGTAAATGAACTGACAAAGTCTGTAAGTTTCTAGTTATTTTTGATCAGCTGACACAATGTAATAGCACTTCTGTTTCGACCAGGATCATATGTTTCATGACTGAAAAAGATTTTTAAAATTTATGGATCTACATTTTATTTTCACTCTATTGCTATTTCTAGATTATTTTTTAACCAATCTTCTGGGACGGGGAAATTAATCACAGGTTGGACATATTCAGCTTTTCCATCAGTATTCGATGAAACACTTAGCAGACTTCATAATTTGTATAAGTTTTTATAAGTTTGTTAAAGATATTTGTCACTTTTTACAAAATCAAATAGAGAAAAAAAATCCAAAACACTATTGCAATTCTCTTGGAGAATGCCCCTTTTTGTGCCTGAAGCTCTGGCTGGCACAATTTCACACTCCAGTCAATACTGCTGTCGTCATGGCCTTTTGTAGCAGTAGAGAGGGACAGATGAAGAGGAAGAAATGTAGAAAAAATAGTTATGAAAAAAATCATTTGAAGCACAGAGCCAATGGAAATTAGACAGAGAGAGTTAAAGAGTGGCAAAGCAGTACAAAGGGAGGGATAAACAGAGTGAACAGTACTACATGCCATGACTGTTTCGGCTGTATGTCACAACAGCTGTAATTCTCTTCCCCTTCAAAGTCTTCTCTCCCTTTACAGTTTGGTTGATAAGGGCAGCATTTGCTGTTGGCACTGAGTTCAAGAAGGCAGCCTGAGAGTTCCTTTGCCAAGCAGAAACTGCAGAACACGGTCCACCAGCAGAGCGGCAACAAAGTCCACCAACAGAACTTGGGCGATGATTAATTTGAACTGCAAAGAAGTAAACGTTTTAAGCAATGACTGTAGCTCATAATGTGTAGCAATATGACGTAACAATGAAAAACAAAAAATGGCAAAATTGACATCAGCTCACCTCAAATGGAATATCTACAAGAGCAAATTGTTCATTAAATTCTGGTGAGGAACCAGTGAGAAGCCCCACAATTGCTAATCCAGACAGGGCGATGCTCCACAGAAGTGGTCTATTCTCACTTAGGGATTCCATGAATGGATGTCCCTATCAGCAAAAAAGAGAAAAGCTTCAAGTTAATTATCCATTGTATAAATAACAAATGTTCAAAGAATTAAGAATATGTACCTTGTAGTTAATGGCAAAGGTGGCCATCTGCATGGCCATTGACATGATGTACACAGTGCTGTTAATTAGACTGGGTTCAAACTCTTTATAAAGATCTACAAACTGATCCTCTCTGCAAGAAAAAACATATTAAATGTCATGATGTATTCATATTCATATGATGTTACCAATGAAAGGAATGCTGTTTTGTTTGAACTAATTTGGATTGTAAATCTTTTTACATATGTTGTGATGTGTAACCATAGCAACAGCACATTTATTTCCCACTTGATCATAATGAGTGTGAGATCATCGGCAAGTAAATTTGTCACTCTGGAATCTCTGATGAGGACAATTTTATTTTATATCAAGACACAGCTGCAGGAACAGCTCTGACTCCACTCTTTTATCTTAAAGATTTAAAAAGGAGACCGAAATGGAACGGTGAGGGAGAAGATTAGTCACTATGACTAACATTTTCATTTGGACTGAATTTATAAATTTCAATTGATAAACTAACATATTATTCTAAGTCACTGCTGCCCACCAATAATTAATTTAGTTTATTCAGCTGTGAAATGTTAATAATTAAGCACAATGCTAATTAGCCCATTGCAGATTCACTTTGAAATCTTCAGAACTGTTTTTTACTACTCTGTCTTACCTGGGTGGACTTCTGCTTTGTGCTTCTTTGTAAAGGAACACCAGACAACAGAAGTGAACGGCAAACTGTAGCAGCACAGTCAACACTGTATACAGATTGAAGATGTTTGGTAAGGGCCGCTCACGTGACAATGTTTTCAGTGGCTGGATGAACGGGAGAGAAAGTCCTCATTTAGTTTGTTTAAAAAAACAACAACAGTATAGTTGAGCTGGCATTACATAAAAAGGAAAACAATGAAACAATGGATTTTTAGATTGATCATTGACAGAAGAAAACCTATATTTATCATTTAAACCTGAAATTTGCACCTTTGATCTGGAGATGAAGAGAAAACATCCGGCCAAGAGCAGCCCTTGCAGAGTTGCCTGGAAATCACTGAACTTTACTCCCTCGAGGTAGAGGACAGACTGACTGTAGGCCAGTACCAGAGCATTGAGAGCGAGGATCTTGAACATCTGGAGTGTGGTCACCAGAGTGCAGCGGCCTTGCTTTATTACATGGCAGACTGGGGATTAAAAATATTTTTCAGCAGCGGGAAGCAGTTTCATGTCTGAATCTTTGTAAACACAACATGAGCTTAAATTTCAAACATGGGCTACTCACTGCATTGTATGGAGGAGAGCTTTGAGGTGAAGGGGGCAGCGATGGAGGCATCACCTAGTTTCACTACTTGTACCTGATCCTCTTCAAGTTCTCGCAAGACTTGACTGATCCTCTCCTGTTAGAATAAAAAAAAGGAGCGGAACATCACATCTCCTCTTATTCAAGTTGAAACTAAATACATTTCTGCTTTTAGCCAGAATTGTTTTGTAGATCTGATTATGAAGTAGATCAAAATATAATGGTTACTTGTCAGCATGCTGAAAACAAGTTTTAAAAAAAAGAAGGCACTGGTGATTTCTGACCTTTTGTGCTGCAAGCTGCTCTTCTCTCTGAGCCATCACTCGTTGTCTAGCTGCCCTAGAGGTCAGTTTGGCTCCTGAACTAACAGGCGGCAAAGGTCTGGATTCTGATGTAGATGCCTCCTTTTCTCTTACCCTCTTCCTTTTTTCAGGCATGCGTTCAGGGGCATTCGCTAAAAGAGCAACACCTGAAAAAAGCAAAATAATGGTTCTTTATTACGCACTGCAGAGGTAATTTACTGCATCTAGTGGTTGAATGGCGACTGAGAAATCTTACCTATGTGGGCATGTTTCAGAGCCCCCACATCATTTGTGCCATCACCACACATCAATGTCACATAACCAAGCCCCTTTAGACTGGTAATCACAAACTCCTAAAACACAAAGGGCAAATAAACCACTGTTACATACAGTGATATCCACATGCCATACTTGTTTTTGCTGGTTGTATTTTTCAAAATGCAAACATCCCAGAGAGCCCAAGTGTTACAATAACATCCCTGAAACAAGGTTATATTTGTAATAGTTGTTTTGTAAAGAGGAGTTCAAAGCGCGAGAAGAGTGAACAACTTATTAAGTAAAACAGCTCGTATAGGACCTACCTTCTGTTTTGGACTGACACGGGCAAACACTCGTATATGTGGCAGCAGGCTGTGGAGCAGCTGGGGTTCACAGCTTAATCTGGCCAGACCCTCTCCTGTTACACATAGGTCAAACTGCTGCACAAAAGAGGAAACTGACGGAGGTGGCAATGATACAGTTACACTGCCATCAATGGATTCCCATTGCCAGTCACCTGAAAAAAGGAAATCATTTGTGTTTAATTCTGCTCTGTGTTATGCAATCAGTGAAAAATATGTACAACAGCACCCTTGCAGTGTGTGTAATGGAGCAGCGATAACCATCTTACCCTGATTGGCGCTTGGCTGCAATATAAGTGTATGCTCTTTCTGAATAAAGTGAAGCTCTCTTGCAACATGACATGCAGTTAGAGGGTTATCTCCTGTGATCATAACCACCTGAAAGAAGAGGTGAGTAAAATTAGCCATAATTAAACCCTGCTCTTTTGAATGTGTATCTGCATTTTTTTATTCAAAGCTCATTTACATGATGGGACGCTTCTTGGATCTCTCTTATGACAGCCTTGCTGTCATTCTTCAGTGGACAAGAAACAACCATGAACCCAGCAAAATGAAGATCACATTCCAGAACATCACGGCTCATCTCCCGGACCTACGTGACCCAAGAAGATTTTGCTCAAGATATGATATATCAGACAAACACAGTCTATACATTTTTTGAGGAAAATCAAAAATGGACCTGTTGATGACTCAGGTGTCCAATCTCTTTGTACCCCAAGGCCAGCACTCGAGCCCCTTCCCGCGACATTTCTCTGTGGACTTCGTCATAACTTGCCGGACATTCTGAAAACTACAGCCACCCAAATTAACTTTTACTAAACTGGATGACGTGATTGTGCTTAAAACTGGTTTCAGTACGTACCATTCTTCTCAGTGTCTCTGGAGCACCCTTGACAGTTGAGATGTAGCAGAGCTCAGTTGAGCCTGGCTTCTCATAGGAGGCCAGAACTGACATCCTCTTCAGAGCACTCGCAAAATGAAAACGCTGGTGGATTTTTAGTCCCTGGGTTTTGATGCCTCGTGGGAACACTTTTTCATCTGGTTTGACCGACAAGAGTTACTAATGCAGGCAGTTTTGCTTTGCATGATCAAGACCAAATGTACCCAAATGTTAACACCTATAGTTTAAGGAGATCTGAAGAACTGCACTGCTCTAAGAAACTGATTTCAAATTAAAAGTTGACATGTCTTCCAAGATTCTACTTAAAATAAAATGTTTTACATATAATTACCTGGGGCAAAAAGTGCATGTAATCCAGCACCAACTAGAGCATTACTTGTTATACAGCCACTGAACCCCTGCCCTAACCTGCACATTTAGCGGGTACCTTTAGTAAGAGTCCAGTCAGCAGCAGTCAGCATGGCTTTCTCCAGCGGATCTCCCACCAGTTGTCCATCATCCAGAGTCACCAGTGAGTGACAGGTGGCCACGACACGATGCGTTTCAACTGGTATCTCAGAGACAGGCATCACCTCCTTTCCCTCTCTGTAAATAACATGAAGACTAATTGATGGACCCCTTATAATGCAAATAATGTTGATGTTTAACCAGAATCAGGTCATGACTGAATTGGTTTGTCATTCTCATTTTAGTTCAGTTTAAGACAAAGCACTGATTTAAAACTATAATTTAAATAATGGTCAGCAGGTTTTACCTGAGGCCTGCCACCCCTCGGACAACCAGACTCTCACTGGTCAGAGTTCCTGTTTTATCAAAACAGCAAACCTCTACTTTCCCCGCAAATGGTATCCTGAAGGGCTCTGTGCAGAACACATCTGAGCAAAAAGAATAAAACAAAAATGAAAAAAGCAACCCCATGTGCTAAATATTCTGTAACAAAACCGGGGGAAAAAAACATACTTACAAAGTTTAGCTAAGGCAATAAGAGATGTGTTCACCGCTAGAGAAAGCTCTATGGGGAGTTCTGGCGGAACCACCGAAGTGAGGATAAGAGTACACTCCAGAAACAGCTTGTAGCGATTCCGGCTGAGATCCTTGGTCCCTGAGGAGGTCACGAAAAACACAAACAACTTATTTGGAATCAACTTTACCCCTCCTGCCTGCTTACAAGGAGAGACTTTAACTACAATGATATACATATTAAATGAGAAACACATCTTAATTAACTGTTTCAGTTGTTGTGCAGCTCACCTTCAACCCACACGTATACAGCAGCAGCAATAGCGAAGACAAGCAGGAAGAGGATGAAGATGAAAGTCTCCAGGTTGTTAGCAGTCACTCTCTTCACACCAAAGAGAATGGTCCTCAACAGTTTTCCCTGAAAGCAAGTTTGTCAACATTCATCATAGTAGGATTCAGAATCCCATTCACAGTGTTTTTAATAAGATAATTTAATAGTAAAACACTAGATGACAAAAAGAAACATATCAATCTAAAAATATTATGCAGTCTTTACCTGAGAGGTATAGAATCCTGTTCTCAGTACGTATGCGACACAGCCATTGTCCACAGCTAAAAAGAATAAAAGTCTTTAAGAGCATGCAGCTCATTTTGACAATAAATAGTATGAAATAAAATATTTGCATTAACAGTAAAAACAAGAGTGCTGAGGAGGATAACTGAAAAGGGATAAGAACTCACGCTTGAGTCCAGCACTGGCCTTTAAGGGGGGGCTATGCTGGACCACTCTCGTCCCACCAGAGATGACATGGAGACGCGAGTCTGTCTGCAGGTCCAGAATTCTCTCGGAGTCTAAATCTTCCACTGGTTCCTGCACACAACACAATATTTAGAATTATAGAAAGAGTCTAAAAAAACTCTACTCCACCTCATATCATCATCTGTACATTATATTCATTACATTCTAACCTTCATTTGTGGCACAGACTCTCCAGTCAGCATTGCTTCATCCACAATGCAACGACCCCTGAGAAGCAGCACATCACAGGGGACCAAGTTGTCCTGGGGTGAACGCCCTATAAGTTCCAGAAAACACATTTTAAAGTCACCCAAAGTACATGTGATGTTGGGGTAGGACGCAATACAAAAGGGACTGTGCACTTACCTATTGAGACAAGGTCTCCAGGGACAAGTTCATCACTGGAAATAGGTCTCCACTTCCTGTTGCGATATACCTGTCATAAAGTGCTTCCATTAACGTGATATACTTCAAACAAATAGGAACTAAACAGATGAGCCTTAAATTGTGATCACATTTTTCTGCTTAATAATCTATTGGTGTAAATATGCCACAAAAACAGCTTTCATCCCCTGGGACAAGGAGTCTTCTTTTTCTTTTTTTTTTGGGACAAGTCTAAAAGCTCTAAATGGGTCCTGTTGCATCTGAAAAGATGTTATCCAAAGATGCTTAATTTGTGGTTCAGAAGCTGCCGTTTGAGTTTTTAATGGTTTGTTCCTCATCTATCTTTCATCCTGGTAAGTTCTAATCATCTACTCCATGTAAAAGCCTATTCAGTTTTTCAAACCCCTTATAATCATGTGCAGTGGCTATGAGAACAAAGTGTTCCATAAATTCTTGATTTAGTCTACGCCCTACAAATATTTCACAGGATAATAAAATTCTTCACGACTGATTCATGACATGAGACATGATATTATGCACTATTGACACAGTATTAACACAGTAAACACAAATGAGTCATGGAATAAATTTTTAATTTGATCAAGCTTACCTGAATCATGTAGGGCTTGTTTCCCATTCGGCGGATCTCTGACATGTTTCTCATCTGCTGCTGGACCAGGGAGGCCTCGAATGCCACGAGCATGAACAATGTGAAAACGCTGTAGTACCAGTACTCATCCAAACACCACAGTCCCACACAGAACACCTGATGAATGGCAGGTGGTGAATAACTTCACATGGATACAAACATTTTCCATTATGAAACCAGGACGAAAACAAGAACACAGGCTAACCTGGAACACAAAAAATGGAGCTGTGGCCCTCTCCCTGAAGAGCTCCAGAAAGTCAGGCACCACCATCTCAGCGCGATTGGTGCCGTATCGCTTTTCTGCAGCTCTGAGCTCAGTCTCTTCCTGATATCCACGCCATGACTGAAAGTAACCCATTGGGTTGCTAATGGGAAACGCTACTGGAAGGAAGCGTTTCTTCTCCTTGTCGTCAAAGATGTAACGGATCTTTTGAAACTCTAAGGATAAAATCCTTTCCCCATTCTCATCCTTTTGATAAGGAGAAAAACAACAAATGTCATTATTACAGCATAACTGTACATAGTCACAACAATGATAAACATGACATTTTTAAACCGCGTCACACTCTAACCTAATCACTTAATATCTGACAAGTGGTCAGGTGAGTAAGTAGGTAAAAAATTTCAGAATTGGGACAACTTTTTAATGGACGGAACACAGGATTACAAAACCTGAACAAACCTTGTCTCTCTGTAGTGCAACCAGCTCAGCAGAACCATTGTTGGGGGTGGGAATGACCTTTGCCAGCGTAGCCTTATTTGGGTCAGGTTCCTGTATTTATTCAGGCACAAAAAAATAAATAAACATAAGATTGATTAGAAGTTCAGCTAAACACCCTCTACCCATCCCTAAACGTTTTTCTTTTTAATTAGATGCCACAGTACTTTGAGTCGATGCATAAAGTTATAACATGAGATAAACAAAAAGTTTCACTGAAAACCATCCATGTTCTGGTAGGACAATAACCAGTTTCAAAACGACTTTAGTCAATATATATTGAAATCCCTTAGATGATTGTAGCAATCTTCCGTTATAATGGCGATTTCATTTTTATATTATGAGCAAATTCTGATTTCTTGGATCTACCATTTTGGTAGCACTAGTTCATCCGGGCTTATCTTATCATAATCTTCAGCCTCTATGTAAAGGTTTGATGTTTAACCAAGTACATAAGAGAACAAAATTATAATATGAATATCCAAACTATTGCAGAATAATTGCTGTCATTTATGTTTACCTTGGAACAAGTGAGCCAACAGTGCGCGTGCACTGACCAATAACCGGAGAGTGCTGTGAGAACGTGCGCGATCCCGATTGCGGCTAATGCAAGGAGGCCTGCCTCAGGGTATTCAGAGGCACCATACACTCCTAACCACACGTAGAGCCAGCACGGGTAGAGTACAGCCAAAAACGGAAGGACGGTGCCGTGTAAGAGTCGGGGTCTTCGTCTATACAGCGTCACCGAGCTCACCAGCTCGTCGCCGGTACCGCTGTCATGCTGGTTGTGGTTAACAGAGGGGGCCATTTGCAGCTCACCCGGTTCTCGTATACCGTCTGCAGTCATACTCCCGTCTTTCTTGGCGTCGTTCATTGTACTCTGCACACCCTTTGGCCCCCTCAATCATCCACCTCCACCCTGTCGCGCTGTAACCGGTAAAAAATTAGGTTGTACACACGTAGTAGTGTGCTGTCCTGCTTTAGGTACCCGTTTACTGAACCGTCCGTTTTCCGACAGTAGCTTCCGCATACGTAAACACGCAAGGACACGTAATGTAAAGCACACACGCTGCGGAGAGACGACACAGAAAAACTCGTGGTGATATGACCTTAAATGTATTAATGTTTTCACCCCGTTGTTAAAACGTCCCATATAAATAGCTCTGTTTAACAAAATATAAAATATTAGTTGAGGTTTCAATTGTTCTAATAAGAAACTACCACTTTAATGAGCATGTCGTCAGCATAGGGGTATGGACAAAAATATGACTGATGCAAAAATGAGCCAATAAAATCAGAGAACCGCATGACAATGTTTTTTTCCTGTCCAATTAGACCCGAGTCTGCTTGTATTAGTTCCTCGATTCACAAAGATGGTTCCACATGTAGAGAAAGTCGGGGTGTAACCTTTTTGACCGGTCTCTTCTTCGTTCGACACATCGCTACATAACATCATGTAAGAACTGCAAATCTGGCAAATGTTCATGTATGTTAAGTCATAATTTGCATAGTGGGCAGGATGGCGTTATATGTGTCTAAAGGATATTTTGTCCAGACAAAATAAATAACAGGATACTTCCCTTACTGTTCAGCATATTATGTGCTGCTGCTGCATGTTGATCAAGTTGATTGCGGATGACTGAGTGATTTGTTTGCTTCTGTCACATTTAGGCAAGCTGCTATGGAAATATCGGCAAGGTATTGCCATAAAGAACTGGAGTCATACGGGTCATGCGTGTCCTCCAACCCATCGACATGGCAACAAAAATGTCACGATTTGAAGATGAAGGTTTCACAATGCACATCTTCACAGTAAGGCAGCCTGTATGTTAACAATTTATAAGATTCTGATCTACTAAAACCAATTTAATTTTTTTCCCCATAATCCTTAATTGTCAATAGCCCAGTGATCCAGAAGATCAGACAGGACTGCTCCAATGAGTTTGTGAAATTTGAGCAGTGCCTCAGGGAAAACCAGGATTCACCTACCTCCTGCTCAGCGCACGTGGCCAGCTTTCTGGGCTGTGCAGAAACAGTGAACCTCAGTGGAGTGCGTAAGTGCTTACTGAAATTAGTCATTTACAGCTAAGGATTACATATAACAATTATTCAAAGTGTTAAAACACTGGTATTATCGCCGTGCATATTTGTTACATTTACATTTAATTTTTCTTGTTAAGGAAGACACTGTTCTGTTATTGTTTGTTTTGCCGTCTTGTACTGGATATATTGAAATCTCTGAAGTTCTGTACTAAAAGATTATTGATAAATTAGCAAAATAATTAAAACTGCTAGATGTTTATTTTTATATGACAATTTAAATTCCTTCTGTTTTCCCAGCTACAGAACCAGGACCTCAGCCGAACTAGGAATCTGCATATTCCTTCACGAGATCGCGCCTGTGTGTTCAGCAACACAGGAGGGCTGGTTAGATACGTGGCTCCCACCTTGATACAAGATGTACTGTGATTGTTAAAATTCCTTTTCTCTTGACTGTGACTTAATGGGACTGTTTGTAAGGAAAAAGTGTAGCTACATCTCTGTTAGTTGCAAAACTAACACTAAACATTTCACTATTTCATAATCATGTAATTTGCCATGGGACTTTGAATATAACATTTATACCTCATTGTGTATGAGAAGGAATGGTTTATTATCAATCTATCTATCTATCTATCTATCTATCTATCTATCTATCTATCTATCTATCTATCTATCTATCTATCTATCAAATAGATGTTAGACTTTTGTTACTCATCTGGTGTCTTCACCCTCTGTTTTTGGTTGATTTAGTCTTTCCTTCCCTCCACTGCAGTGAGTCATAGTCAAATATTAAGCTGGAATGTGTTGCTCCCACACAAACTCCCCATACTATACAAAGACTGAATAATTGGGAGTATGGGAAGAGAGGATAAGGAGGAGACCGTTCACTTCTAATCAGCAGGACTACTGAGAGAGACTGAGGGAGGTTGAGTTATGAACCCTGTGACCACTGAGGAGAACAGATATTTTCTGGTTCAATTATTAAAGCATTGGGGGAGTGACTGAGCAGAAACAGGTTCTTTCTTTTAAGTGTATCAATGGTTGGTGTCATATGAGGAATGGGTCAGTGTACTACTATTTTTTGTGATTGGGAAAAATAAGGCAATTTTGCATCAAAGATAAAATCGTAGATTGTATTGAAGATACGGCAACATTACATTCAATACACATCACCTTGCAGTCACAAAAACAAAATTATGAAATAAGAACTCATCTAATTCTGCACAAATAAATTACATTCACAATAATATCACTTTGAAAACACCATGAATCATTTATCTGAGTTAAACAATATCATAAAAGAATATCACAGGTTGTAGCAATCACTAGCATCTAAACAAAACAAGTAGCACCCTATTCCTACTTTATTTTGCACCACATGAGTCTATTCTGATGCTTTTAGCAACACTTGCTATTCAACTTAAGTCTTAGAGGCTAGTTCTTTAGACCTACTTTTTGGCACATAAATGTCATGCTACTGTTTAAATATTTGTGATTATCACAGAAGGTACAAAATATCCAGCCACATTTTCTAATATGATCTTTGAGAGGAAAATTATTACAGAAAGTAATTACGACAATTATTTAACACAGTCATACTAACATTTACATTTGGAACACATCATCATGTACCCAGAGTCCTAAATTTGGGGCATTTTGAATCTTTTGGTTATAAATTCAATAAGCTGTTTCTTAGCAATCACATTATTTAAAAAAAAAAGAGAAAAAGCTGAAGCAAATATAATTCATACAACCCTGTTTCCACAAAATGCTTTTCAAAAGACCCTGTACTATCATCTATATTCTAATTGCTAAAAAAAATAAATACAATTTTTTGGTCCATATTATAGCTGTCATGCATCTAAAAACAAATTGTATAGTTTGAAATGGCAATTATACAAGGAGAATTCCCTCTGTTTTGCAGTTCACATTCTTGAAGTGTTGCTTCGAATCAAATTGTCTTCATATTCTGCACAATGGGACTATCCTGAGTTGAAACTCAGCTTACATATACATACACACTAACCTGAGATTAAAACTGTAGTCCAATCCAAAAGCAGTATTATTTATTCAGCATTCAATCATACACAATTGGTAAAATTAGTCTTGGAAAAAATGTTATGTAATACACTAATGCATCTAAACCTCCTCCTGTGCTAAAACCTGCAAAGTCCTACATACATGTAACTTGATTGATGAAATGATTTCCATTAACACTTAGTGTAATTCATGATATACATATTGATAGGTATAAGAGTCATCCTTTTTTTCTTCTGATGAGGAGTGCCATAAAACATATTAAATTGAATAGGTAATAAATACAACAAGAGAATTTAAAGTCCATTATGTTGGAACTTTGCAGTGTCTGTGCATCCAGCATCTGATGTCCTTGTGGGTAAGGATATGTGAAAACCAAATGCAAATGATGACTATATGTGACTTTGGATGACATTAGCCAGTAATAAAAGCACAGAAGTGTGTTTGGGTTTAGTCTGTTTAATGAAGAATGGTCCCACAGGCATGTTGATGGACAGACTCCATTAGCTGCATCTTTGAGGTGAAAGGTGAAACAGAAGGGGTAAGGGTGATAGTTCATAAGTGTCAGGAGGTGAAGTAGGAGTTCTGCATGGAATAGAGACGGTCAATGGGGTTTCCCACTCGTCCTGACAGGAGACCACCTTCCCCTGTTGCTAAGAGACAGTCACCAAGGTGACCAAGGCTTCCATCGCTGTCCAAATCATGGAAGACTGTTTCTGTATCTAAATATTAAAAAAAAGAAAACTAGCATTAGGAATACAAGTGAAATTATTTTTAGATAGTAATATATAATATATCTGATAATATATTTAATAATAATAATAATAATAATAATAATATAAAAAAAGTCAGAAATTCCAATACAATTATGGTGGTAAGATAATGACAAAAGTTGTTCTTTCTGAGGCCGACAGTTCTCTCAAACTGGAAGCCTTAACCTTCTGTCTCACCATAGGAGTGGAGCTGCTCGCTATTCAGCTGAGGTGGTGTGAGCCCATGTCGGAAGGGCTCTCCGCCATAGATATTTGGATCCAGAGCAAGAAGCTGCTGACGTGGCAGAGATGGATATCCAAGCATCCCATCCATTCCATGGGTGCTAGATCCATCTGTGAAGGCGGGCATCCCATTAAACATTGTAGTTCATACGGTTTTGCTTTCTTTCTTTCTTTCTTTCTTTCTTTCTTTCTTTCTTTCTTTCTTTCTTTCTTACCCTCGCTGTCATCGTTGCTTTGGCGGCCCCCTCTGCTCGGCCCTCTTCTTGTCCCTCCCAGCTGCTCTTGTTCCTGCTGTTGCTGCTGTTGCTGCTGTCTGCGAGCTATCTTTTTCATCTATGGCACGAAGCAAGACACTTAATGAATTTTCTGTGTCAACTGATTTGCAAGAGAACATACACAGGCTATTTAGAAGACAGTCTAACCTTGGCTCTTTGGTTTTGAAACCACACCTGCACAACGCGCACAGTCAGTCCAGTCTCCGCAGCCAGCGTCTCCCTCACCTACAGGTTAAGAGATTTTATTCTCACATACAAACAGGAATGACTGTTCCTGGAATCTGAAACAATAAGGTAGTATTTTACGGCATGTATTTCCACTTATAAGATGCCGATCCACCCACCTTTCGGCATGGCTTAGCAGATACTTCAAAGGAAGCCTTGAAAGCTCGCCGCTGCTGTGTGGTCAAGATGGTGCGCGGCCGTTTGGAACGTTTGTGTTCTTTGCTCTCATCACCACCTTTCCCACCGCCTGAGCCTCCTCCACCATCCTCATCTTCACTTTTTACTATAAAAAAAGGAGTGTGACAACATCGTCAGACAGCATCTCATCTGTCTGTGCGTTAGTATAGGTAATGAGTGTCTGAATAAATTAGGTTATTTTTAGGGTGATCTCCAGCTGTTCAGTGTCCATTTACATTAAAATATATCTCAAGATTTTGATGTGAAAACTGGTGAGCAACTTAGAACACGACTTTTCCCAATCTTAATCACACAGATTATTTCAGTTTTATGTGAAAAATTGCATTTTATTGCTACATTTGTTTTTGATTGGTTGAAAATGTATGAAGATGAGCAATGATTATTTAAATTAGATGTGAAATATCGATGTAAAAACAAGGATATCATTTTGAGATCTCTTTGTTTTGGTCTACCTGTGTTATGTGTAGTCCAGCTGAAGCATTTATGGTACATTTTACCTGATTCAGTTGGTGTGGGACTTATAGCAGCAAGCATTTCCCTCTCCTTTTCATAGTCCATGCGGCAGAGCAACTGGCCTTCTTTCAGTACAAACTCATCACCTCTTTGTAGACGACGTTCACACTCGCAGCAGCTGAAGCAGCCCAGATGGTACACCTGTCCTAGCACGCGCATTATCAACTCAGTGCGTCCAATGACCTGCAGGCAGGCACTGCACTTCCTTACAAAGAGCCTGGAATTATAAAGAAACACGTACACAATGGTGTATATATTTGGATTCATCAATATTAACCATTAAATGAAGAGGATACATGATGGCAGTCTAGACAAGGAGAATAAGATGTGAGATAATTAAAGACGGAGACACAAACAAAGCGCTCTGACACATTTACCCTCAGCTCCAATTATTCTGTAGATTAGCTGTCTCTTAATTAAAGGTTGTATAAGCATTACCCAATTCACAGTGCAACAAGGTGAACATCTGTTAAGATGAGTTACAGTCATCTCTCTTGTATTTTATTTTCCTTCTTATGACAGTAGATGGCAGTAGCTAGCCAATGACGAGGAGACTGTTGTCTATTTTCTCTATAACCCTTAAGAACTGGCTTACTCCAGCCCATCCATACAATACCTACTATTTTAAAGTTCTTGTTTAATCCATTAATCAAGCTTAAAACAGTCTTTCTTTGGTCCATTGCTTCCCCATGATCACAAATTCCTTTTGTTCCAGTAGTTCTCCCTCTGTGTGATAGTATTTCTATCCTGCCTCTCAATCTCTTCACATCCCTCTTTCCATTCGCAGCGCCTAAGTCTCTTCCTTTAAATTCCTCCCAAATCCCTGTTCTTACACTTGGTTTCCTCCCCCTCTTTTAGTATTTTCTGCCAGCATTCCCAGTTTTCCCTCACACCCTCCCAGCCTGCCTCCCCAGTTCACTGAAACTAATAAAGACAGGATTAATTAGATTGTTGTTTAAACAGTGAGATGGCCAGACAGACGCTGTAAACTCATAACCAGGGATTGGGGATAGCATGGGGTTAATCTCTATCCTCTCACTTATGCACACAAAACACACATGCACAAACACAGGTACTCACACACACACAGATACGTGCACACGCATGGGCATACACTCAGACATTTGCACATACAGCAACCAAGTATAACTAACTACACCTCAACTATATAGACTTTTTCATATTAGCTGTGTAATGTTCTGCGGTTGGAAAAAGCTTTTTAAACACAGGATCCTCTTAACAGCTTTGATTAAAGACTTACCTGATACCTGAAACATTAGTAGAAAATGGATAAAGTTACAAAGATATGGAAATAGCACCACAGCAAAGTACAGACGTTGGTAAGAAGGGAGGGAGACTGAAAGGGGAAGTAGCGGGGGGGAGGAGGGGATGAAGGCCGAAGTGTTGACGCTCCCTGACTGAGTGATAGGAAGGTGTTACTGCCCAAATCTGGAGTGTAAAGAAGGAGCCAGGTCTGCACATTAGAGCTTCTAATCTGTGATTCTGTCCCAAACGCAGCTGCTACAGCTAATCTTTTTCAATCCATCTGCCAAACGCTCTCCAAATTCCCCAAATGACAGTGTCGCTAACTTAATATCAAAAAGCAAATATAAGTACTGCTATAAGCTACCCTACACATACCATTTGAGAGAGGGCGTTGGGTTGAACTAAATGTTACTCATCTCACTTTCTTACAGTAACTTCATAATTCATTTTAGATAGATGCCTCCATTGTAAAAGAGACAGCACGTTAGCCAGAATGTGCCACATAAGAGGAACAATCAATAGCACTGCTCCATGTAGCCTCACTCTCCATCTGAATACACACTTCAGCATCTTGAATACCTCTTTTCTCTGTGAACATTACTCAACAGAAAAGAATCGTCAGGGCTGCTTGACATAAGACTGATAATGTTGGTGGTTAAGTCCCACACTCCCTAATCAGGCTGTACGCAGCCCAGTAGGAATTTACTCAACATGGCAAATGAAGGCAACTTGGGGCAACTGCCACAGAGGGGGGTCTGTAAGTAGATCAGTCTAATCCCTCTAATAGAAGTATCATTCACACATGGTCATGACCAGGGTGCAACATCTAAATATCATAATGGACTTGATGGATAGAGGACTGCTATGTATTTAAGGATGTCTTTGTTTAGCTTGGTCAAATATAACAACACAATTCATTTCTAATAATACTGCATTGCCACTGGAGTTTCAAAATGTATGTTGATTTTTTTCCTTAAGTTTTGTGGCTTGTTACAAAACTGCTTGTATGAAATTTGTAACAGAATGAAAAGCGAAAATTGCAATTAGGCATATTTGTATTAAAACCAACTGCCAACAGTGTACTAGTTTACGGCAAAAGGCTTTGTTCTTTAAATTGTTTCCGTCATATCTTACATATACATCACAGCAAAGATCAAAGATGCAAGTATTTCTGATGTACAAAAGCTAAAGATTGGCAGCACACACTTTCATGTTTAGTTCCATGGATTTAGGAGAGGTTAAAGGGTATGACTGAATACAAGCTCACTGATTAAGAGATCAAATCTAAAGAGGCAGACAGAGGTGCTGCACAGTATAGTATTGCTGTAGTCATGTGTTTCCTTTTTGCATTATTGTAGATCCCGTGCATACAAACAGAATAATATTTGCCATCTCTCTAAGCTGTAACATGTGGCACTGTTATGCCTGTGAGCTCTGACAAGTTTGACACTGTCTGAACTGAAATACAATCACTCCATAAATATGTATGTGTCTCTGAGCAATTACAATGTTGTGCATCTCTGTATAGTCATGATGAATATTAATACACGTACTGGTTCAGTTATGCTAATTCTGGGTTACAAAATTCCTTCAATTACACTACTGTAGGTTTGGGATTGTCCTAATATGAGCCCAGAACATAATGACTTTGAGACTGTTGCATATAAAATATCTACCACTTTCATTTAGTCAGAATGTTGGAAATATATTTCTTATTCTTTATGTAAGATACACAAAAGTGTTACTGCGCCTCTTTGATTAAATCTGAGTTTTGACCCTAGCATCTCATACTAATTATGCTCCGTCAAAAATTAAGGTACAGCCAAGGCTTCAGAAGATGGACGTGAAAAAGACAAATGACATACATCAGTCTCACTTTAAAGTTGTATTCTGTTAAGAATTTCTAAGACATTTATGTGTGCCCGTGCGTGTAAATGTGTGTGCACACTTTTGGCGGATATTGCTCTGTGAAGCAAAATGGCTCAGAGCCAGGGTTCAGTAATCACATCATCTCCTTTTATTAAATCTCCCTGCACTGCTTCTGTGTTATTAAAATCTCCCAGCATTCTCCACGATACTTGCTACCCTGCCACCATGCACTCACACAGAGACACACACATACTTTCATATATATATATATATATATATATATATATATATATATATATATATA